GGTACTTTCAGTACTTTGATTACTGCAGAAGTGAAAGTGACGCAATTCTCGTGAATGTTCAATAGTCAAGGACATTTAAAGACTATTAAATTTTGGCAAAATGTGCAAGTACTAAGTACCCTCTTCAGGCTTCATAACATTGGAAAACAAAGCTTAAAACGGATTAGTATGCCTGACTTCACCTTTCTGCGCTTGACCCCCCCCCCCCCACCCCAACCCATAAGCGAATCGGAAATTAATTACATTTTACTCCTAAAAAATAATTACTTAAGTTAAACCATCCCTTGACTTCCATATGTTTCATATTGCTGTTATCTATCATTCAAATTATACCATATCGTGTAAATTCAACCAATTAGCCGACGTTTGATCTTGACAAAAATATCTTGCAAAATCCGAAGTATAATTACACCATCGGCACGTCTAACTTGGCTAGAAATCACAAACCATGATAGTTACTCATGAAATTAAACTTATTTCATTACGAAAATTAAAATATTGCAACAATACAACTTCACAAAATTTTCCATGACCTTACCGTTTTATCGATTTATCAAGAAAGGAAGAGGAGGAAACAACTAAGTATTAGACTAGTACATGTAAATGGACCTAATTTTCCGGATTGATAGATTGGGACGAAAGGTACATATAGTTATATATCTGTAAGGGCTTAAGATATCCGGAATGGAAGGACATAGGGTTACTGAAATAAACTCACTTATCCGAGACAGGCTCGTATAAGTGGTATTATTATTACAAGATTAAAGATTAACACATTTTCTTCAATATTTTTTTTGTCGAATTGTGAAGCTTCATTCCATTTGGTTAATTTGAACTCATTATAGCCAATTTTCAAAGCAATATATTTTTTAACCATGAGCACGGTTAACTAACATTGTAAGATCAAAAACAACGTCGACACTCTAAATTACTTTGATTTTTAATTTCATACGCAGTCTGTAGTGTCTGTGATGATGATGGAAATTGACCATTTGACCTAATTCTGACTTGATGCAGGAATCTTACCATTTTGTCTTTATCAAGGAATTTGACCAGTTGACCATAGTCTGTCTTTATGCTGAAAACTGACCATTTGACATAATTCTGTCTTTATGCTGTATACTTAGCTTTTGACCTTATTCTGACTTTCTTTTGATGTTGTAAACTGACCATTTAATGACCTAATTCTGTCTTGATGCTGGAAACCGGTCCTTATGCTGGAAACTGACCGTGTGACCTAATTCTGACTTGATCCTTACAGAGAGCCCATTGTCATTGTGGGGGAGGATGAAGATCCCTCTGCCATGGGAGGGGTGGAACAGGAAAACGTTCCCTTTCCCCAGCTCTACCTCCCTGGGGGGGGGGGGAGGGCGTCCCAAATATAGCTCAGGGTCAGTACGACTTGATGTCCTCACTGAGACAATCTCAGGAGAGCTTTAGGGCATCTCAAGAGCTGCTGAGATCATCTCAAAAGGGAAGTTTGTATTATAGCTGTATGACTGTATTGACTGTATACTGTTTAACGTCCCTCTCCAGAATATTTCAGTGATATGATGACGTCACCATTGCCGGTGAAGGGCTGCAAATGTAGGCCTAAGGATCTTTAGGATCTTTATCTTGCCACCACTGCTGTGACTCGGGGCCTCGGTTTATACGGTCTCATCCGAAGGACCGCCCCATTTAGTCGCCTTTTACGACAAGCAAGGGGGTATTGAGGACCAGTTCTAACCCGGATCCCCACGGGGTTAAAATTGTACGTTTTCCATACAAATTGTTACTCCATTATCTATACACCGAATTGACAACGGATTTTTTCTGTTATTTCCTGATCATGACAAGGAGCACACGGCGGATGTGACCGTTCAGCAAAGGATGCTCAGTCCTCCATGACACCTGATCCCATCTCTGATGTTTTGGAGGTCCGTGTTTGCTTTGCTCCTATTTTGTATAGTTTTATGGATTTTAAGATTGAATACTGTTCGTTATCTCAATATCCTTCATGAAATATCTATATAGAATTATTGAGTCATTACTTATGCTTCATTATGAAAATTTTCCTCAGGAAAATTAAATTCTGCAGAGATTGCTTAGACTCTTGACCCCCAACTTAAATTTGCAGATGACATCTATGAAAACGCCAATATCTACATGTATTGGTCTTAATACAGTATATTGAATTCTAAGTTTAAATACTACCAAGCCTTAGTTTAAGAAATGTTTATATGCATGACAATATGTTTATGATAAAACAAATATCTGATGATCTTAGAAAAGTCTAATGAAGTGTCAGCTAAGAAATGTTCAACTTTAGTTTAGGAAATGCATGTTTACATGTCAACATTATTTTATCAACAGTTTTGAGAAGATCCCAGGAGGGCTTGTTAAAGAGTGATAGTTACCATAGCAACAGTAAACAAAGCAGCACCAAATCATCAAATCACCATCACCGACCTCAACGACATCATCACCATCAGTTTCACCAGGTTCGTGATAGGTCTAATCAAAATATCTTCTCACATCAGGGTCAGCCGAATGTTTATGACCCCTCTCACCATGGTAACACATACATACCGCATCATGTGACTTCGGGGGATCATTTTATGTACGGGGAAACTCCAAAGAGACAGGAAGCAGAAGGCGGGGCTGATGAACATTCAGATGTCGGGGTGTACCTGGGCATTACCATTATCATCATCCCCATCATTACATCGGATATTACAGGTAAATATTTAGGTTTTATCAGTTCCTTTGCATTGAAATAATTGTTATAATGTGACAATATATAATGTAAATTGTTGAATAATTTAAAAAAAAAAAAACTGTCTAATCCAACATACACTGGGAGACACATTTGTCAGAATAGACAGCGTGTTGGTTAACAGGATCTCGATTCTCTAAATCTGGGCCGATATTCGGCCCCGTTCCCTATGCAAAAAAAGGTACCATTTTTTCCAATAGAAAGGTGTAAATTTCCCAATTCCTATAGCAAAATATTTTTATAAAAAATAAAAGTTATTCAAACCACGATAAATTTGACCCCTGAAAAATATGTGATTCTACAGAAAGATCTGATGGGGAATATTTTCCCTGATGTTTTAAAATTAAAATACTCTAATGGAACACTTAATTAAATGTCAAAACAAGAAAGGAATAAGATAAGTTCAACAGTAATATTCCATATGTTTTATTTGCACAGTTTCCAGTTGAGGAGTTTGACAACAGACAGTTTGCTCAGCTTTAAATCCTGTATAAAGCCCGAGGCAGCAAACATGAGGAGATCATCCGAGACTTTGAACAGTACAAGCAGGAGACAAGCAGGGAGATCAGGATATACAAACATCAATTCTCCCTAGCAAAAAGTAACTGTTAATTTATCACATCTCAATGGCTTAACTAGTATTGACTCTATATCTAACAGGCTCATTCAATAAAATTTAGGTAATTGTATCACATCTGAAATGCTGAATCAGTATTGACTCTATTTTGAATGGGCTGAAGGCACTGAAAACATTCACTGAATTCTTTTTTACTCTGTTTCACTTAAACTTTTTAAGAAAAATTCTGTACATTCAAACCTCTTTATCTCATTCTCATTCTTAGTGAAATAAAAACATCTTTGATATTTTCATGGATTTGAAGCATCAAAGATTAAATATTTGAATAATAAAGTGGTTGAGTGTACAAAATCACCTTGGCATGTCCATGGTATTCAAGATATCTTTGTTGGAGACACAGAAGTTCAAATCCCTAGTATAATAATAACCTGTAGTTAATGATACCAACATTTTATTTTTTTTTTAATAGGATAGGAAAAAGAGATGACATGAATTTTTCAATTTATTTTATAAGAAAATACATTATGTACAAAAAAGTCCCTCAAAATTAAATGTGTTGGGGATAAAAAATTTTTAACACACACTCAATACACTACATTTACAAAATGATTCACAAACTGATTATAGTGAATTGAACTTACACTTTAACTTAGAAAAAAACAGGATACAAACAACATAGTAAAACACATAATATAAAACACCCCAAAAAAACTCGGTTTTCTGAAGCAGTCACGTTTTTGTATATGTTGCAAAACTCAAGCTGTGAAGACCTTAAAAACTGAAACACACTGTTATCATATAGAATAAGATGACCATTGTTGGATATCCATGGTCAATCTCACATATGCATATTTGAATCGATGAGTGTATAATATATTGAGGATGGGTTTCCATCAATGACAACAGTAGGAAAAATATCAATCAATGTTTCTAATACAGGTGAGAAGAAGGGGACCTCCACCAGTCTCAAACAATGTCAGGATCTTCTGATGGAGGCCAAGACAGAGAACGCCCAACTGAAGGGGAAACTCCAGGCTACCGAGAGTCAGGTGGAGGCCCTACAAAGGGGGAAAGAGGAGGTACGTAGTGAATTGATAGAGGCCCTACAAAGGGGGAAAGAGGAGGTACGTAGTGAATTGATAGAGGCCTTGCAAAGGGGGAAAGAGGAGGTATGTAGTGAATTGTAGAATTTGGGTGGCTTTTCCTCTCACAGGGCTTCACCATTCACAACTCAGACACAATGACATCACGGGAAGTTGAGATGTGTATAAGATACACAATCTTTCATTTCGGATGGCTTTCTTCTTGGTAAATAACAGTAGTCAATTTGGTTTCCTTATTGCCTTTTCCTCCCTTCCCTCTCCTTTCTTTTCGTTATTCATTTTGTAGCCTTTGTTTCCTGTTGATATTTCAGCAATATTTTCTAAACATTTAATAACATTTTTTAACTGATAATGAATTACATTAGGTGCCTTTTAATATAGTTACACAATGCAAATACTACTTGTAGCACTAAGAATATCTGAGTTATGAGTTTGTGACATGGTTCTTAATACTTGACATTGTTTTTTTTTTTCACTGAGTAAAATACTGCAGTCATGGGAAACTTGATGAGACAAAGAGTGTAATTTTGTCGGTTTTTTTCTTTATCATTCATAATTGTCATCACTCTAGATATTTGATAATCTGAATTTTTCCACTTTTGCTTTCTCCAATGAGAAGATTGTGATCTTCATCAATACTAATACTGAGTCTTCCGTTACATAGATTCTCTATATAACGGACAAAGTTACCATTACAGTCTATGATGTGGACCACGTTGTTTGAGAGATCACTGATAAGTATTTGAGTATTGACATCAGTAGAGATATTACATGGTTCAAACTCTCTGTACTTTGATTGGTTAAAGAGATTGCCTTTATACTTGAATCTTAATCCCCCAGAAGAATTCATCACAACAACTGCCTTCCCTTTATTGTCTGAAACACAGATGTCACCATTGCCATTCTCAGTCAGGAGAAGCACATTTGTATCACCAGTAGAAAACAGAGGTTGGCCCTGACTGTCATACTGAATCTTTCGAATCTCTGTGGTCCCTGAGTATCTAACAACTTTACTCTGTGTTTTATCCATAGATCGCATACTCACCAGCAGATCTCCATTATCTGTGTAACAAAGACCGACAGGAAACCAATTGAGTATGCTGAATAATACATTCACTGCCTTCTTATTATAAACATAAATGTCTGCATTTTGTTTATGAGCATAACTTATGGAATGCACTGGTTCCATTTGTGAGTTAATCGTTAATGCCCACACAATAGCATTTGTATGAATTGTTCTTAATATGGATCCAGTCCTGTCTATCTCTTTTATTGTTTTGTCACCTCCACTGGTCAAGATCTTATCCCTCCCAACACACTGAACATTCCGTAGCTGATGCTCAATACCAAATTCCTCATGGTTTCCATAAGGACTTTGTATGGTGCCTAGTACCAAAGGGACATCAATCATTTTCAGCATTCTTGGTTTTTCCTGCAGTTCGTCCCTAGTCTGAAGAAAACCAAACATTTCTGTAATATGGTTTTCTTTAATAATACCAGGAAGTAACATTGGACAAGAAAAACTTTGTAAATGTGGGCCCTTTCTGAAATCCCCATTTCTTGATTGGTATTTAAGTATGGCTGTGGCATCATTATCATTTAGAATATCTTTATTTTTGGTAACAATTTGGTTGACTTCTTTTTCAGCTTTTTCTGCTAAAGACTGGCTTTCCTTGTTCTTTCTTATAGCTTTTTTCTTTCGACTGCTTACTTCTTCTGTGAGTTGAATGCTTTTTTCATGTACAGCTTTGCAGATTTTATCTTCTTGTTCTTTAATGGTGGAGAGAACTTTGTCAAACTCAGCAGTTGTACCTAGACTGATGTTTCTGTATTTTGGAACAATTGTATTTTCCAACTCTTCTGTGTCTGATAAAAGTTTTTGTTTATGATCTTGAAGAATAATTTTGATATCAGTAAACTCATGCTTTTTATGTGAATCCATCAGGCATTGAACACACATTGGTGTTTTACAATCTTTACAGTACATTTCACATTGTTTCTTTTCATGAGCATTGCATTTTGGGAGAACAATAGTGTCTTTTTTTCTGGAAGTGTATCCGACAACTTCATGTTCCCTTGAATTGTCATCCATGTGTTTTGGTATGCAGGACGGACAGAGGTCCATATGACAAAGATTGCAGTGATGTTCTACAGGGTTTGGACAAAACTTACAGCAAATGATGTCCTGTCCCTGGGCGGTGGCCATACCTTATGTGATGTTGCAAATTGTAAAGTATCTACAATAAAATATGTTCAAATCATCTAATGTGATCTGGGATTTAAACAAACTAACAAAATTTACCTGAAGGTTGAAGTACATAGTAATGATGTACATATGTTATCATTGAATTTCATAGATTTAATTCTGTCGTTGATGCATGTGCATACATCATTTTTAGACACTTGTACTGTAAGCAAATCAAATATACAAACTCACAAATTAAAAAAAAAATATATATTATATTAAGAAATTAAAAAAGAATTCTGATTATACATGTTATAAGTTCAGCATCTTATTTGAAATGTTGATTTCATGAAAAAGTTGTAGAAAACTCAATCTGATACTCACTATTTCCTGTCAAATCTTCATAAAAATCATCTTTTTTTACTTTCGTTTTAAGCTGGTGTAATGAATATTCTGGATCGATATACAGCTCAATATCATGGGGTTCTCAGGTAGTCAGTTGATTTAAATTTTCAATTGAAAGCTTAAAATTGGGTCACCTTTACAGCTATATAGATAAACATTATAATTTAAGAAACATTACAAAAAATCAGACCTTTAAAAACTACTATGTTTTTTTTATCTGCAAATTTCTTTTTCATCTCATTTTTGAATGGAGTGATTAATCTGAATTTGTGGTTTTGGATTATTTATCATAAAGTTTTTTAAATATATTAATAGAGAATGTTCAAGTGCTGCTTAGATGATTGGTTTGCATATATATATATATATATATATATATATATATATATATATATATATATATTATGCAAACCAATATATATATATATATATAAAGCACTAAAAAGCCAACAACACTGTATATCATATATGTCGGATCTACTAAGTGGATACAAGGTCACGGAAGGAAATTTATATAAAGCACTAAAATGACCAACGACACCGTACGAACAATAAAAATTGTCAAATTTTCGGGACGCCCTGTCCCTTCCTCAGGACAAAGAAAAAAGTTAAAAAGTCATAAAAACAAAGGGAAAAGAGACACAAAAAGAACTAGCACTACTACTAAACTACTAAACACTAGATATTTACATCTTTACATGTTACCTAAGGGTCTAGCCACCAGAATTCGACGCATCTGTTCCTCCCCTGCCTTATATCAGGAGCAAAGTGGTCTTCTTAAGTCCCACTTATGCAAAAGAGGCTATAATGCCCGCACCGTACAAACAGCTCTTGATGAGATGGCAGGGCATGACAGGCAAAACCTATTACGCTACAAGGAGAAAGACAATAGCAGCAGGGTCCCTCTGGTAACCATATACCATCCCGTCCTTAAGAACCTTAGCGGTATCCTTCAAAAGAACCTTCCAATTCTCCATTCAAACAAACGAATGGAAGAGGTCTTTAAGGAACCCCCACTGGCTGCATACAGACGCCCAATGAACCTAAAGGACATGGTAGTAAGAACCTGACTGGACAACCCATTACCTAACGGGGGCTTTAAAACTTGCTCTGACAGAAGATGTCTACTTTGTAAGCACAGCACTGACACAGACAGTTTTAACAGCCCTGTTACAGGCCGCAGCTACAACATACTAGGGAATTTGTCCTGTCAGACTGACAACTGCATTTATCTCATCAGTTGCAAAGTTTGCTACAAACAGTATATTGGTGAAACAGGATATCTCCGCAGGAGAGTCAATAACCACCGCTCGACCATTAGGACTAAAAAACTCAATGAACCCGTTGGGGAATATTTCAACCTTGAGGGTCACAAATGGGAGGACATGACAGTAGTGGTGATCCAATTCTTGATGATACTAAACAAGATTATTCACTCAATTTAGTGTTAACTCTACAGTTAATTTGCATCAACAACTCTCGGACAACCCACAAAACTTTTTATTGTTTACGCTTTTGCTAATTTTTTCCCGGTAATAAATCCTTAAATATTTCAAAATTTATAATGGATCATAATTCATATGTTTAAATATCCCTACTATATTATTTTTCTTTGATTATTCTTTATTAAGTAAAGTTTCGCCATTTTGAGAGAATGAAACAATGTACAGTTTACTGATTATCGTAATTAATTAGCTTAATTAATTCGTTCAATTATGTAAATCGCACTTCACCCGAGTATATCCGATGGACGCATTTCACAGCGGTCCGGATTTCTTTCTTAATTAGTGTTCTTAAAAATTTCCAATTCAACATGTAATTATGTAAATATCTAGTGTTTAGTAGTTTAGTAGTAGTGCTAGTTCTTTTTGTGTCTCTTTTCCTTTTGTTTTTATGACTTTTTAACTTTTTTCTTTGTCCCGAGGAAGGGACAGGGCGTCCCGAAAATTTGACAATTTTTATTGTTCGTGTCGTTGGTCATTTTAGTGCTTTATATATATATATATATATATATATATATATATATATATATATATATATATATATATATATATATATATATATATATATATATATATATATATTATTTATTTATTTATTTCCAAGAAAAATCACAGTGGTCGGTGATAAATATGAACATTATTTTAAATAAATAAAAACACAGAGAACGAGTAAAACAAAAGCGCTTTCATTTCTTCTTCATGATGTTTTACAATACTCATGGTAACGTTTATTATGACGTCATAATAACTTAACGTTAACAAGTCTTTGATTGACGTCATATTTTTCCCGTACTTTCACAGAACAATGCATTTACAAAGCATACAAAATCAAAGCAAAAAATTTGACTCAGTAACATATTTTATATGTTAAAAAACAATTCTTTTACATTAAACTATTTAATTTAGGTTTGAAAGTCTTTATTAAATGTCTTTCTTTATCATGTCTTTCGATTGTGTTAGAGTTGTGCAGTCTATAAAATGGAAAGACAGTAAAAGTTCTATTTCCGCACACGTCTAAGTGTTCATTGACTTTGAGTTTGCGATATTACGGTACGTTTATTTGTTGTTTGTGTACTCTTATCCTTTCCCGTAAGGTACTTCCCGTCTAGCCGATATATAGTTCCCCGCAACCGGAACATATTATAACGTATATAACATTTCTAGTTTGACATGACATGTTATTATTACCCGTTAAAGTTGAAACTTTGTCCTTGTGGTATGTATGGGCAGGTACCACAACGCGGATCCTGGCACTTGGTCACATGAAATTCTGTCGTTTCTTTAAAAGAGGACTTTGTGAGAAATCGTCTGAGGTTCTTCTGCTGCCTCCTTCTGTTTATGAATTTCCGATTTTTAAATATTTTAGACATAGTTTCGTCGGTTTTCAAAACGTCGTTGAGTTGGTAAACAATCGGTGCAACGTTTGTATTCTGGGGATTATGGGTCGTTACTAAAGGCAAGATTCTGGAATCCGTCTTGTTTTGTTGCACAGGGTTGAGGAGGTCCTCTCTGTCTAAATCCATTGCTTTTTTAATAGCATTATCAATATTTTTTTCGGGATATCTTTGTTTCCATAGATACTCTATCAGTTCTTGTAGTCTTTGCATTTTGGTTGTTTCCTTATTTACGATGGTGCATATTCTCCTTGCTAAATTATAAGGGATGGCTCTTTTCGTATGCCGTATCACGAATTAAAATGAAGATACTGATGCGTGTCTGTTGGCTTGTAATAGATATCTGTCAATATGACATCGTTTTCCTTAATTACCATGATATCCAGAGGTCGGTTCGACTTACTTTTTTGACAACGTCAGACACCACTGAACGTTTAATCTGTCCAATCTCCTATCTTTCGGTCTTCTTGTCCTCTGCTGATCACACCCGCCCAAAATTGCTAAAACCATCTATTAAGATGTGTTTTATTTTCATTCGTTCTTCTGTAAGTCTGATTAATTATTGTAACTGTCACTTGTGATGATTCCCGTATTTTGAAGCAAACATGCATAACAACTCATGGATCCGTTTTTTTCCCCCATTTCAACAATCCCTTTGTTCAATGCAACAGAGTAAAACAACAATGTTTATGATAAAAAATACCAAGGCCTTCATTTAATTTTCAATTAAAGACAAAGAAATGACGAGAATTGTGTCTTTTAAAAAATTTGGGAGATTAGATTCTTTTTTAGAATTTTTTTAATGTGTTTGTCTTCTTCATTCTAAGAAAAAAATACAATTTAAATGTGACGTTAAGTTGTGACGCGGCGACACCCCCTATGCTCTATGTTTTAAACATTTATTAAATAAATTCAAATAAACATTGTTAAATTAAAATTTCAATGTTGATTAGATTCAAATTTGTGCTTCTTTTTTTATTTTTATTAAAAAATATGACGCCAAATATAAAAGATATGGACACTGTGACATTACTTTTGGATCAATCCTCGTACAATTCATTTATTATTATTCTCTTACATTTAACTGATCTAAAAAATGAATTTAAACATTCATATCTCACAAAATGCAGAGAACTCAACATTAAGACAGAAACTGAAGGAGATTTATAAAGAAGCAGAGAACTCACAGATCTCAAGAACTGAGAACATCAATCGTCTACCTCGCAGTCTGTAAGATTCCCAGAAACAATGCAGGATGCTCCTAGAGTCAGATACTTATAACAAAAATGATTTTTAAAATGTAATTGTTTACATTTAAAATTTGCTGAGTATGAATATGTGTATTATTAAGCATTTGATTTGAGAAGGAACCTCTTTTTGCTAACTAGATAGTGCTTAGAGTATCTGATAAACACGCTGATTCTTCTATTGAATTTATTTAATGATCTTGAAGATAATAGGAAATGTAAATTTTAGTGAACTATTTGAGGGAAAAAAAGGAAAAGAATGTAGATAATTTCTTCATTGTAGCCTCCTCACATGAAGCAAGTCAGTTGACGATCCAGCTGCAGCAATGTAAGAAAATCGCTGATGAAATGATTCTCTCTTACCATGTAACTGTCAACATTCAGACCTCTTCTATTCCCTTCCTTTACATTTTTTAAAAATATTTATAGCCAGTTTGATTGTTGTAGTATTTCATCAGTGGATTTATTATATAATG